AAATAGCGAATAAGCATATCTATGCCTGAACATACTGTTACTCCCAAAATTGAGCGTAGGGCACTTTTTTTGTTAATATTCGCAATGTTTTACATGCTAATCCAAGAAAGATAGTGTCCAAAAATTAAGAAAAATCTGCAAAGTTTCAGCAAAATCGCGAACTTTTTAATACGAATTTCTAAAAAGAATTGAGGTATGCAGTTTTATAGCCCATTATATTTTAGTATAATAATGTGCAAATTTCAAATCTCTAAAAAATTGCTTTGATTTTTGAGAATTTTTTCGCTATTATTTTCCATATAAAAAATTTTCAGATTTTTTTTACTAAAACATAAGCAATATTTTAAAACAAAATTAACAAAAAAATTTAACATGTAAAACATTGCGAATATTCACAAAAACAGAGCTGTACGCTCAATTTCGGGAGTAACAGTATGTATGTATGTATGTACATATGCAAATATACATCCATACATATACTTACTCGCAAGATGCCAAGCGGCAATTGACATTGAAATTAAATGCACTTTTTTCCTTGATTTTGTGGCTTCTCGATTTGCGCGCATAGCTGTTTAGTGATTTGGTAATGGGGTGCCAGGCCAAACCAGCGCCATTTGACTGCTGACCAAGGCGACAGCAGCGCTTGGCTTATTCATTTATGTATATCATTTCCACTACAAAACACGCAGGCATATTTGCTCGAATGCAACAGAAAAGTGTGGACGAATTAAATTTGAGGAAGGGAAAAAGAGGCGAATGTGTGTGTGTGCGGCATTAGTTGGCAGATGAGTTTACCAGCAGTATGAAACATACAAACGCAGGCTTATAAACCCAGTAGGCAAAATTAGCAACGCGTCTAATAAGTAAACGTTTTCTAGCAGGGGATTTTCAATAAAACATTTTACTTTCGGAAGATGTATTTGAATGTGGTTGTTTACACTTGCCTGGATATCTGATTATGTGGTTATATTTTTTATTCACTTTACAACAACAAAATACACCTCAGAATAATAATTTTTAACCAGATAACCTGATAAGCAGGCAAATCAGCAGAGAATTTACAGTGAAAACCATCAAGATCGGACTACAATAAGTTATAGCCCTCATATAACTAATCATTCAGATATGAGCTTTAGCTCTGAGTATCCTTCATTTTAATTAATAACCGTACAATTTTGTGAGCGATTTATTTATCAATTTAACAATGTCTACTGGGAAAATCTTTAAGATAGTTCTTCTATAAGGCTTAAATTCTGAAGTTTTGTGAGCTATTTACTATTCAATCATACAAGATCTGCAGATAAAATCCTGACGATCGGCCCACAAATTCTAATAGCTCTGATACAAGTGATTGTTCAGATGTGAGGAAATGCTTTGAAAATCCTTAAGCTAGATACGCTGGTGATCAGCTAAAGCCAGCAAAGTTTTCATCAACTTCGGCTATTTTTCCTTGTTTTTTTTTTTTTAATGTTTACTATTTGATTTATAAATCCACATTTCAAACTTTATGTGAGAATTATAAAAAATCTTCAAAGTTGCATCTAAATTTTCAACTTTTTTTTTGGAGTATGCAGTTTTATATTTTAAATTCTAGTATAATAAACTGCAAGCTTACAGTTTATTATATTATTATTATTATTACGCATTTTTTTCATACAAAAAAGTCTCGAATATACATATGTACTTTGTATGGAAGGAGATGACTTCAAAAAATGGCACCACTTTCTTAACTTGTCTCTTTCTCATTTTGTCGACTGGGCAGTGTTAGACATTGTATAAACAAATTCACACACACACACATACACTTTACATAACGTTGTTCATATTTTGCGGCAAATTAACACACATTATTTTCGCGGCTGCTGTTGCTGCGCAAAACATATGTTTTGTTAATATAAATAATTGTAAAATCGGTCGTTTGCATGTACTACATATATATGTACATACATATGTACATTAGGGCGAGTCAATTTGTACGGGCGTTTTTTTCGACTATAGCACAGAAGGATTCTACATGTGATTCTAAGCAAATTTTCCGAAGAAACTATGGGTCCAAAATCAATTTGGATTTTGCCAAATTGCAAAAATAAGTTTCCTGGCATTTCGCTGTAGTGTTGTAAGGAAGTGCTTAAATTTTGTATAAAAATATGCTGTTAGGGATTTTTTGGTATGAGGAATCATTTTAGCACTTATCTTTTTCTTAAAACTTCTACCAGAGGGAGTAACAGTGAAAATTTTTACATTTTCTTCGAAACCTAATTTTGGCAAATTTGGTAAGCTCCAAATTGATTTTAGACACATATATTCGGCAAATTTGCTTAGAATTACACATAGTCAAAAAAATATTTAGCCGCCCTAATGTACATACATATGGGAAGTATGCGGCACCAGATGAGTTGGAGAAAATAGCGCGCTCGTGTAGGAATATAGACCTTTTCGGTATTATAAGCTTTTTTTTCTGCCATTCTATTTTTCTTATATGTATGTATTGCCAGCTGCCGCAAGCAAATAAGGTGATGAGTAATCTCACTATTTTTGTTTACATTAAAAATACTTAGTACGCGTATACAAAACTACAATAATAACAAGCAATAGAAAGGTATACAATTTGTATTTTCCAACTGAATGTCTCTGAAGATTCACATTGAAGTTGCTTGAATTTACTTTTTTTGACAGGGTATTGATAGAAATTTGTATAAGGTAAAGACTTTACCAAAAAGTTGCGTATACGACTTGTATGCCTGTGTGTGGACATCAAATTCGCTAAAAAAAAACAATGGCAAGCTGCGAAAGTGGCAAGAATTTCCCCAATCAATTATTATTCCGTTCAATGGTTGAGCGTAATGGCATGTGCTAAGCAAGCACGCGTTCTCGAGTTCAATGTCAGCGTAAAAACAAATTTTCTATCAACAATAAACTTTACTCGCTGCCTAGCTAAGACGGCGTCGCTACTGCGATTCCACAATATAGTTACATACGTAGATATATGAATCATGGCTGATTAATAATAAAAATGAAATTTGTTTAGATTCGCAAATGGCATATCTAACGGACATATTTAGCCTTTATCTCACATTAATGCCATTATTCATACGCATTGCCATAACGGACCAGGCGTATATACATATGTACGTGATCTTTATTCGCGTGTAAACACAATTGCAAGCAATTATAATTCCAGTAACGGTTACTGTCACAAAGCGCAGCATATCGACTATTGAAATCAATTTGCAGCCTTGAATTATAATTTTCACAACTTGTCACACAATAGCCAATGACTTGGGGGGCGGGTGGCTCTTCCTCACCCTGCCCCTGCTCTTCAATTTATTATGAAAAAAAGTGAAGAAACTTTTTAAAATAATTTTTAATCATATTTAGCACGTCTGTTGCCTTATCGAAAATATTGAAAATATGTGAATTATTAAAAAATATCATTATTTTTAAGCGATCTCAAAAAAGGATGATGCTATCAATTCATCAGAATATTTTTGTTTTGTTTTTAGAGTTAGCAGCAATTTGTCTATCACCAAATTAAACAAAAGGTGAATGTATTGTTTAACTGAATTTCGAGTAGAATAAAAAAGGTAAGGCGTTAAAATTGCACTCTGAAAAGAGCATATGAAAAACAACAACAACTAATAAATTGTATAAGTTGATATAAAAAACTGAACAGTTAAAAAAGTGGTTGGTAACGCGCAAAAATTTATGTCCAGTTTTTACGTAACCAAAAATTAATGTAGTTATTGGGCCATGCAAAATTGGTAGTCAAACTATTATTTGGGGTTTTTTTCAATTTATGCCTGTTTTTCATTCGGCCAAAAATTTATAACATTTCTAAACTCCCTAAATATTCGTATTTGGAACTAATAAGGCCAATTACGTTCAAATAGGTGACACTGGAGTCGAGTTATATGTAAAAGCCTTGAGGTTTAAGGCTAAATATCAGCGCTTCATAAATGGGAAAGGCCTCCGGAAAAATGGCGCGCTAGTTGGCGCTGGAATCGATTTGTTTGCATAGTTCCCGTTTATTGCCAATTAGGTTTATATTCAGAATATAAGTTAGCTACTTTTAATAAAACGGAGCTATCACTGAATCCATCGTAGTCCGATTTTTCAAGAAATCTACGAAAATTCCATAACTAAATTCGAATAGCAACGAACGTAGCAATGCCCGATGTATGCAGATATTTAAACATACAGTTGTCCACAAAATAATAGGAGTGCGATATTTTGGCCAGTTTTGGATATTTGTCTTTTGTTTATTTATCTTTCGTTTATTATTAAATTTTTTATAAAAGTCTAGCTGGTTATACAACAAACACCATATAAAATCAGATTTAAAACTTTGTACTAAAATTAAAAAAAATCTGCAAATTTTCACAAAAATTTCAAACTTTTAAATCAGAATCTTTAGAAAAAATTTTGGTATGCAGTTCTGTAGCCCATTTAATTCTAATTAAATGAAGTGCAAGTTATAAGTTGCTAAAAAATCCCGTTGATTTTTGAGAATTTTTTTAGTTCAAGGTGTTTCACGTTTTTTTCCATACAAACTATGTTCGACAATTTTCTTTTATATGGGCCAAACTGGTCAAAATATCGCACTGCCATTATTTTGTGGACAACTGTAAGTATGTTTTACTCGTATCACTTTTAATTGCTTATGCCAGTAGCTTTCAACGTAAGCGCAAATAATTATAGAAGTGGTTAAACGTAAGCTTGTTTCCGTAGAATTCGACAGGCAAAAATATTAGAGAAGGTCACTATAAAATACTTAATATCTATATTTACTTGATTGAAAAAGAAAAATATAAACACTAATTTCTATTAGTCACTCACTGCTTAGCATTGCGCGATTGCATGCGGACCAAAGAAGTCGCTTAACACTCAGAAACCGCGTAAAACATGCACAAACAACTGTAGTTAGAACAAACCAAAAACATTATCAAACAGAAATAGAAACGAAAACGAAAATACATAAAATGGAAATATATAGAATCTACCTCGCTATAGTGTAGTGCTAGTGCAGATTTGGACATTTGATTTTGTGATTGATTTAAAATAACTGAATTACTTTGTTGCTGTTGCAACAGCACTTGTTGCTGATGGCCAGCAATGGGCAATGGCGTTGGTGGCGCCAAAGGTCGGTATGCATCGCCGAAGCACATGGCCGATGTGGAGGCGGATTGAGTGAGCGCGTGAGGCGCTGGATGATAGGATGCGCCACCTATTTGCTGTTGTTGTTGTTGCTGTTGTGTGTTATTGTGTTGCGACAGAACACCACCACCACCACCACCACCACCACCATTATGCGGCAGCTGCTGCTGCTGTTGGTATAGTTTCTGCTGCATGCTGCCCAGACTGTAGTTGCTATGCTTCGGATACAAATATGGCTCGAAGGTTTGCAACACTTTACGTTCGGCTTGCAATGGCTGCTGCTGCTGCTGCTGCACTTTCGGCGGCACGTTGTAGTATTGTCCAGGCAGCTGTTGCGGTTTGCTGCCCATCGCCTGGAAAGCGTTAGGCCTTTGCGCCGCGCTAAAGGAGGCAGAGTGCGCCAGCGCATTGCCGCCAGGTCGAAGAGCAGGCTGCTGCTGCTGTTGTTGTTGGGCATACATAAAGTTATACTTGGCCTGTTGTTGTTGTTGTTGTTGTTGTTGTTGCTTTTGAGCTGGCAAGAAGCCGGGCAAATATTGCGTTTGTTGTTGTTGCTGCTGCTGCTGTTGTTGCTGCAGCGCACTTGCATACTTATTTTCTTTGTTGGTGTTGTTCTTCTGCAGGAAAGCTGCTAAGCCAGCTGCCATTTTTGGCTGCTGCAGTTGTTGTTGTTGTTGTTGTTGCTGCTGCTGCTGCTGGGTGAAAGCGGGCTGTTGCATCAGCTTCTTGCTGACATTTGTTGCCGAAGCAGTGTGCTGCAATTTGTGCGCGTGCTGGTGGTGTTGCATAAACGGATCTGTGGCGCCGCTCATCGCCGAGCAGGCAAATGAGTTCCAGTTGAGGAAGGGTCGCTTCTGTTGCGGATAGGCGTGCTGCTGCTGTGTTTGCGCTAGCGAGGGTTGTTGTTGCTGCAACATTTGTGGCTTTTTTTGGCGCAGCAAGTCCGATTGTGGCAATAGTTGTTGCTGTTGTTGAATCGGCTGTAATTGTGGCTGTAAAATTTGGCGTTGAAAAGCAAACGGTATCTGCGAGGTGGAGTTCGACTTGCCAATCGGGTAACTCTTCTTCGACAACTGTAAAGGCGCCTGCTGCTGCTGCTGTTGCTGATACAACTGTTGCGCATTTCCGTAAGCTTCAGTCATTTTACTGTGCGCACTGCTGGACATAGGCGCAGCCGCGCTGACTTCATTGCTTGCCAGAATTTTAGCTTCCGCAATTTTGACTGGCTGCGAAGCTCCGGCTGCGGCTCCGCGCGTTGTCGCTGTTGCCGCCGTGACGGCGGTGCCATTGTCACAGTTGTTGTTGTTGCCCATTTTCAGCATTTCATTCAAGCCCTTCTCGATCCTATTGTCGGCGTCCTTTTGACGTTTCGTCAGCTCTATAGCGGCGCTACTCTGTGCTTTGGTAACTTTGTAGCCCTCAACGCCACCAGCAGCTGCTGCGCTAGTTTTCGCGCTGTTGTCACTGCCAGTGGCGGTTTGCTTTGTTTGCTGTGACTGCTGACCCGACTTGGCATCGGCGGACGGTATGTGAAATGATGAGGTGAATTTCGACAACTGTGGCAAGTGCGTGGTGCAACAATTTGTTGTTGTAACACTGCTCGTGCTGATCGTACTGTTGCTCTTCTCCGATTTGCGATCCGAAGATGAGGGCGTACAAGTGGCAGCACCAGCATCAGCCGCATTTGCATGAGACGCTTTACTTGTCACTTTGATGTTGTTGTTGACGTTGTTGCTTGGGGCATTTTGTTTTTGTGTTCGCGTATGTAACTGCTTAGCATCTGTCAGCTGCTGCTGCTGTTGTTGTTGTTGTTTACTTTCCGGCACCGCCTGTTCTACCTTTGTCTGCTGCTGCTGTTGTTGTTGTTTTTGCTTTTGCTGTTGCACTTGTGCCAGCGCCTGCGACTGCTTCTGCCGTATCATCAACTCATCACTCAGCGCCGATTTCGGTTTCTCACTTGGAGCCACCAAAGAAGTTGTCATTGCTGGCGCAAGCGGTGTGCCGCCAGACGTTGTTGCCGGTGTCAGCGTGGCCGCAGCTGCTGCCAGCGTCGTTTGTGCTGACGATGAGTCACCGCCAGTGCGCGCCGGTTGCTGCTGCTGTTGCGGTTGCATATAGAATGGACTATATTTAGCTGTCGCTCCAATACCAAAAACACTTGAACTCGACGAACTCTTGAGTAAGCCGCGGAGTGGATTCGTTCCTGCCGCCGGTGTGACCAATGTTGTTGCCGAATCGGTCATCAATGCCTTTGGCTGACTAATCTTCTTTGAAGTGACGTCTCTGTCTCGCGTTGAGGGCTGTGCTGTTGCTGCAGGGGAAACGGGTAGCAGAATTGCCGTGTTTGATGTGCTGCGACTCAACGCAGGCAAATGTTTCATGTAGCAGGGTATGTGTGTGCGACTCGAGGAGCGCGTCAGATTGCTTGATGTAACGGTAGAGGCTTGCGGGTGGGTTTGGGTGTGTGAGGAGTTTGCTTGCGCCGCCAACACTGCAGACGGCACGTGTGACAGGGAAACACTTTTGTTCAGGGGAGTCGACTGAGGCAAATGTTGTGGCTGTGTCAGCTGTGATTGTGGCTGTAGCATCTGTGTGGCTGACTGTTGTGTGCCGATCTTGATGGGAACTTTACTCACAAAGCTGTTGGGCGCTGTGGGGCTGGTGGGTGAGTTTTCATTGCATATTAGCTTGTAGAGATCTTCTTTGGTAACGGCCTGCCGCACCTTCATGTCCAAATGCGAAAGTGACGCATTCTTCTGCAGTTTATTTGGCTTGTGGAGCTCTTTTTGTGCTGCCTCAGCAACGGTTGGATCGAATATGGCGAGCTTCTTCGCCGTTTGTGCATCCACTTTAAGCGGCGCACCCGCAACACCAACTGTATTAACCGAGGGCGCACAAATCTTTTCATAGTTCCATATGGAACGCTTCGGTGTTTGATGATTTTGTGATGTAGCGAGATTTTCCGTCCAAAAATCATTCATAAGCTGCTTGTTGAGGGAGAGATTCGAGCCGTTGGTGGCTGAATTCTTCTGTTGCGCACACAATTGGGTCGTTTGAGGCATGCCGCTCGGCGACGCGAACCCTTGTATGCCACCGTACTGTGGAGGATTCGAATACGGCATACTGTTGCTTGAGGTACTGCGTTGTAGTTTGGGCGCCTGTTGTTGCTGCTGCTGCTGCTGCTGCGGGCCGAGAGAGGAAAAGATCGATGGGTATGCCAGGCGCGACCGGTTGGCCGAGGTGCTCGATTGCAGACTTTGCATCGAAGGAAGTGGATTACCGAAACTAATAGATGACGATTTAGTGAGATTATTTCCAGGTGCGTACGCGCTGTTTGAAGCCGGTGGATCTGTCGGCGCGCTTAGTATAACACTCTGACGGGAATTGGACTTAGAAACGCCCGGCGCCTGTCGACGTTTCAAGCGGTCGTACAAGTCCTCGCACTCCTGAAACTCCTTATGCAATTTCTTGTCGAGCTCAGTGTAATCGGGTAGACTTTTAAGATACTTGTTCATCATCTCAATTTCCGCATCATAGATATTTGCATCCATTTTAACAGCAGCCGTCTGCTTTTCCAGCTCCTTCTGCTGCGCCACCAATTTATCCAAGTCAAATTCGGATTTTGTGCCGGCTGCAGTGACTTCTGGTAAACGCATACCTGCGCCACTGACACTACCACCGCCACTAGTAGACACTACAGCGCCAATACGATTGTTCGGTGAACCCACGACTGGCTTGGCAGCTTGTGCGCCGTTGTAACCTTTTAAGTGTACAGCAGCGCCGTCCTTCGAGCTCGCATTCAGCAAACGGTGTACATTTCCACTGGAATAATATTTGGGCGCGCGCATTGGCACAGGGGGCGGGGGCGATGACGAAGGCGATGAGGTCGACGAAGACAGCGAAAGTGAGGAGCCTGGACTGGACGCTAAAGCGGCCATCATGCGCGGCGGCACCGCGGGTATCGCAATAGGCGATGTTATAGTACCAGTTGCGGCATTGTACGAGAGATGGTAGTTCTTGCGCGCCACCGGTGGCGTGGACTTGGGACTCGCAGGCAAGAGTGGACGATTTTTACGACCGGCCAGCGGTGAAGATACGGGCGAACACAAACTGGACTTAGATTCTGTACGTCTAGCAGATAACACCGTGGCATGTTGTGGCGCTGTCATGTGGTGTGGTTGCAAACCCACACCGGTGATGGGCGACGACTTGTCAAACGCGGCGATTGTGACAGGGATTGCTGGAGGTGAATTGCCTGTCATAACGGCGGCGTTGACGGCTGTTGGTAGTGCAGCAGCCATGTTTGGCGCCTTTCTGTTTTCTTTACTGCTACTTGCTCTGGCGACCTTTGCAGCGTCCTTTTGCAGAGTAGACGAAATTGGCGAGGTGGTAGCTGTTATTGTTGCAACGGACACAGGTGGTGGTGGTGGTTCATCGCTGGTGTTTGGCAGCAATGCGGCTTTGTTTGATGTTATTGGTGTTTTAACAGTGTGTACAGCCGGCGATCGCTTGACATTTTCACTCATTTGTTTCGCAGAGTAGATTAGGAGCCAAAGTTACAATGTTTCAAGTGCGTTTTTTTAGATGTAATTTTAGTACTGAATCGCGCCGCGATTTTCCCCTTTAAAAATACATTATATTTTTTCATTTTTGTCATATCGTATTGTTACCTAAGGAATTTCCTTCATAGGGAAGTAAACTAATTGTACATGCGGGCAATATGTTCTTTTCCCGCCCGTCCTGACTCAACCTTACCAACAAATTTGACAAAAATAGTACAGAAAACTAAATATGTGGACTTATGGCCCATGCCAATCCTCATGCCAAACGCTACAAATGTCGTGACATCACAGAAAACATAATTTCACATTGACCTTGAGACGTTCACGTACGTGGACAAACACTGCACGAACAATACAACTCAAAATGCCAACACATAAACGAAAACCAACACGAACACGAACACGAACAAGACATCAACGTCCAACCAACCTTCAGATACTGCTCCGGTATTTTACCGTTCTTTGGGATTATAAACTTCTTAATGATAATGATTTTATCGCCTTCGATCTTTTGTATGGTAATCGGCACACCCATTTGTGGACGTTGATTCTGCGGTGGCCGCTGTACCACCGCCGGTTGAGCGGGACGCACGCCACTGCCTTGTGGTCCGGTGAGTATGCCACCAGGATTGGGTTTTGGCGGCACTGCTGCTGTGGTCGCTGATTTTTGTAGCCCCACTGTAGGCTTCGGCTTAGGTTTGGGCACAGCTGTAGCTGGCTTGTGTTCCTTATTGTCGCTGCGTACAATCGAAAAGTGATAGAGCGGCTTATCGTCGTCGAGTATACTCTTCTGTTGCACAGTCTTCTTCTCTACGCGACGCAGCACAACACCCAACATTGGCGCATCATTCTTCTTGATGCCAATTGTCGATTTCGGTGGTGATACTTTCTTCAGATTAACACCCAGTTTCACACCAACTGGTGGTGGCGTCTTGGTGCGATGCACCATTTTACCAGTGGGTATTTCACGCCTCAGTGTATCTTCAACAATTTTCTTAACGTCTTCTGCTGTGAGTTCGTCATCTTTCGGTAGCGTGGGATCAGTGTGCAATACCGGCTCGGGCGCCACCAACGGTGAGGGCCCTGGAAACAGTGCCGTCAAGCTGCTTCTACGACGCTCCATATTCGGCGTGGACGTTGTTTTAGCCAATGGATAGATGGGTAGCGAGGGCAGCGCCGTGGCGGGAGTTGATGACAACTCTTCAGCAGTGCTAGCGGCGCTACCCCGCCTGCTTGGATTCTTGCTGGCATTTACCGAAGCCGATAGCGCAGAACCACTGCTGCTCAAGCTCGAACTGTGTAGACGATCTGGTGCCGCGCTGCGTTCGTGGTGTGAACGTGATAGCATGTCGGCCGATACAGCCGGAGCGCCAGGTGAGACGGGTGACAGGGAGCGCTCCGGTTCAGTTTCGCGTGCAACAGCTAAATCACGCTGACGGCGGTGCATACGCAGCAATTCAACCGAATCTGCAATCTTTTGATGCTTTTGTTGGGTTTCTGACTCTTCAGCTGACGACTCAGAAGTGGAACGCTTGCGCGAATCGTCTTCATCAACGACCGCACGGCGACCTTTCGACAGATTATCAACCGAATGAAGTTCCAATTGCGGTTTTGGCGAGTTTGTTCTAGTTATTGAACCGCGCAAATTACTAACATTTGTTGCATTATCGCTACCAAGCGACAAAAATTGCCCTTCCATGCCGTCATCGAGCACATTCGGCAGTGAGGTGATGCGTTCGCGCGCTGCGGGCAACAGCGGCAAGAGACGTGCACCTCTGGCGGGTCTGATATGGTTGTTGTTGTCATAGGGGTTAGGCGATGGCGTTCGCGGTGAAGCGCTTAGTGACGCTGTTATGGGCGCAGCATTCGGTGTCGAGCCCGGCTTGGAGATGACACGCAGCTCGGGTGTCGCAGGCACAGATTTGTTCGCGGTCACCACGGCTAAAGGTGTTGCGTTATCAATTGAGCTACTGCTACCAGTGTTGAGCGTCATCAAGCCGCCGGATGGAGTGGCGATAGCTGGCGTTGCGGGTGCCGACACCGATGAGTTAGCCACTGCGGCGGCGAGCACAGTTTTGATTTCAGCTGCGGCTGCAGCGCGTATGGCGGCCAACTGGGTGGCCGTCATCTGTTTCACACTTAGGCGACGTTGCGTGTCGACGACATGAACTTGGCCACCACCACCAGTGGCATTGCCGCCGCTGGTGCTGGTCGAGTGTAGGTCGGGGCAGCTGAGGGCGACCATTTCGCTGAATTCGTTGGACATTTCTGCGGCGTTGCTTGCTGTGGGGTTGGTGTTCGCTGAAATTGGCTGATTGAATTGCTGGCTTAAATGGTTCGAGTAGTTCTTATTGTTGGCTTGAAATCGTAGCGATTGCGGTCATGCAGTGTGGTTTTCACGTACGTTCAAGGTTAACCTTTTTGTGGTTAATATTTTTGAAAAATCACTTAAACATTAAATTTCTCTTTCTGAACAAATTGAAAGCACAAAATACAAAATACAAATTTCAATTGCAAATGTAAACTCGTAAAAGAATAAATTTTACTAAAATTTCGGCAGCTGCTTGCAAAATCGCTGCTACTCACTTCACTGATGATTACTCAACACAAAATGGCGAATTTTTTATGCGCCTTCACACGATCTTTAGACATGCTCGTACCTATCGACGAGTATCAGAATCACAAACGATCTATCTGCTAAAAGAGCTGGTTAATTATTGAGAAATGCGTTTCAAGTGCAAAGTGAAAATGGCCGAATCGATCGATACCGCTTATATAGAGAAAAAATAAAATAAATCGTTTTGCTATTTTACTCTACACTTTTCGTTACATTTCTATTTTAGCTTTTGGCTATTTTAGCTGCCGGCGTGGGGGGCGGTTATGGCGCGATTGGTTGCATTAGGTAGTGCATTAGTACGCACCTTCAATTGTGATTGAGACAAATGCAACAACTCAGCGTATTTTTGGCAGAAACTAGATCAGCAAAGTATGCAACGTATCTGCTAAACTATTTGCATACGTTGAAAGTACAAATCTACGCTGCTTAAGTGTAAGAACATTTAAGAATTATTTGCTATCGTGGCGCCTTTTGGCTTGCCCTCTTCGAGGTGAAATAAACAAATTAATTAGTAGTTGGGGTTGGTTTGCCAGCCCCTGTTCTTGCCAATTCTTTGTCATCATCAGTCGACGAATTTCTGTCGATAAACAATGACGTCTTCGGGGAAAGTACATATTAGTATGTGTAGCTATATACTATATACTCGCATATCGTACAGAAGTATAAGTATATAGTAAAGTGAAATAAAAATACGAAAAAAAAACATAAAATAAGCGTTCAATAGTTTATTGTCAATGGTACAATTTAACTTAGCGTCACTTTGAACTCAGTCAAAAAAAGTATATATTCAAAGATTTCTTTGGCGCAACCTTGATCTTGAGACCATGAAAGCACTCGTTTATCTTGAGAACGACATAGAGAAACAATAAAAAGAAAGATCAATAGAAATAAAGAAACCATAGAAAGGAAAATGATGAATTGAAAAAGCTTGGTACGAGGACAAGTACGCATAGCGTGTTTGGTGATTTGGCGAAGATTGCAAGAAAGTCAATTTTTTTTTTTTTTTTTAATGACAAAAAGTTAGAATTTTTTAATTAAACACCTTGGTTTGCAGAATACTTGGGGTGAGACAGCCGTAGCTAGAGAGAAATTAAATTTTTTTTTGCATTTTTCTAAGTATATGCTCTTTAGATTATTACTTTAAAATTTCATACTTAGATATTTGTTATAGCTACGAGCAACTGAAGAAGCAGATGTTGCGGTTAGCAGCGTTTCACAAGAAACATGTCCTCGAGCTAACTTTTAGAATATCTACTACATACTTCACAAATGCAATAATCTCCTTTTTCAATGAAGGAGTTCCCGTTTGAAACGCTCCACGGCAGGGATGAACAGCTGTTACGTATCCAAGATTCAAGTTTGCGTACAGTAAATAAAATAAAAAATCACAGGTCAATGATGTTTATGGCATGAAATTATCCAATAACAATACATTCGTGACAAAAAAGAAATGAGCTCGCAAAAATTCAAAATCTTAAAAGCGGATGCGAGTTGAAGTGTTAAGCAGTACGACGTACAATAGTCAAAACAAATTTTTCGCATTTTATTCAATTTAACAGCAGAAGCAGTCGCGAGCCAGTTTATTTAACTCTAGGTTTTTTTTTTTTTTTTTTTTTTTGTTTCATGCTGATTATTTAGGAGAATTGGTTTTCGCGTAAAACTCATTACGAACGGATGAAAAAAATTCGAGAGAAACTAACGATAAGGCTGATTTTGTTTCTTTCAGTGTAACTGTTAAGAAGCAGAAATTATTAAACTGAAGGGTTCATGTCTAGCACAACTTGAATCTGTGACAGATGGTAGGTCTACGTAAACGAGGAATTCAAAATCGTAACTCCTTTCAGTGCTATATATCTGAAGGTACCAAAAATTAGCAACGTGGTTAAAACCATACACCAACTAACAAAAAAAAAAAATTTTTTATAGCAGTTTTTCAACGCATTTCTCAATAACACCAATCATATTTTTATTACGTATGTAATTAAATCGTACAAAAAAATATAGATACATATGTGTATTAGGGTGGTCCTTAAATGTAGGATGCAAATTTTTACATCAAATTTCCTAAGCCTCAACCCCTACGTCGATGCTACTATAGTCAGTTCAAGTTCAGATAACCCTATGAAGGCGTCTTAACCGACTCCAATCGGGACCAAAATTTACATGTGATATCTTCGACTATGGTAGTATCGATTTTGGGTATTAGATGAAAAAAAAATATTAATTTAAATTTTTTTAATCTCTTTAGAAGAATCTGTACTTTGTTCCCTGTGCGACACGACTTAACCGTCTCCAATCGGGACCAAATTTTATACGTGATATCTGTGACCGTGGTATTACCGATTGAGGGATGAGACTGAAAAAAATTCTTCAATTGATTTTTTAATGACCACCCTAATGTGTATTTATTTAAGACTGCGTGGGAAAGAACATATGCCAGCATGTACAAAAAAAAAATTATTCTGTATTCAGCTAATCGCAATGGCACTAATCTCTCAATTTATTTTCAAATGGAAAATCAAACGGAAATGCATTTAAATCCGCGACAACTGTTTTGGCTAATTTCACTTATTTTCGTGCGCCGTTTCTTCTTGAATGCAACAAATCTTTTTCGACTTCTATGACACAACACTTGTTTCTTTTTGTTTTTTTTTTTGTTTTTGGTTTTGTTTATTTTCATGACATTTTTCGTAGGTAGTTTGTTGTAATTTTTGCAGCACTGCCAGTGAACGAACGAATTCGGCACGTTTCGCAACTGTTCTGGTTTATTTTATAGGCAAAAGTAGATCACAGAAATGAGTAGACGCGCCGATTTTTGGCACTTTCAATTGGTTTACAAAACAAGAAAAAAAAATTTTTTTTTACTAAATTTTAATTGCTAATGCAGTAAATACTTTCCCAGTTTTTTTCTGCATGGGATGCAGCTTCCTGTTCTTGCTCATCAACCCCAACCAACCAACCAGCCAGCCAGCCTTCACCCAACGAAACGGAGGAACAAAACGCAAAGGCATAGAAAGATTTATTCGTGTAAATAGTTCGTTCTGTAGGCATATGTGTACGCCGCCTATTGGAAAAAACTGTTTGCGTCTTCATTTTTTCAATTCTCTTAGCGCATTTACTTAAAATAGATAATGTCTAAAAATAATTTCAACAACAACAGCAACAAAAACAAATGAAACCAATGGCAAACAAGGCAATAAGCACTCAATTGAGTTGCGGTCGCTGATGCCGTCGCTGATGCTGACGCTAACGTCTGATGTATACCCCGTATGCATGTATGGTGTGGTGTTGCCACATCGCGTTGATGATCAGCCGCAGTCGTGCTGATCTCTGTACACAAGTATCTATACAACAACTCATAGGGTACTCGCACTACAACATTACACGTGGCCTAACTGGTGCAGTGCGTAAGTAAATGCGCGTGCTGGCGGTGGGAGGCTAAGACGCACACGCAAACACCTACGATTATTGCACATTTGTATACACACATACATACATAGTACATAATAAATGTGCGCTCACAGAAGGGAGCAAAGTACAAGCAAAGATCTTGAGGAAAAGTAGCGTTTTGGGTGGCAAAGGCGATGGCGGCGCCGACAGAGTGCGAAAAAATCGGAAATATACAGAATTATTTGCAGCAATGGTACATACATACATACATATCGTCGATGTTTTTGCAAAACCGCCCATCGCCCAATTGCAAAACCGCCTATCGTACGGCACTCAAATTTTACAGGAGAGCGAAAAAACGGTTTATTCTTTGAAGGCATTGCCTTGATGATAGGCGGTATTTTCACTAGCTATTATTTTATTTGTTTTGCAAAAACATCGACGATATGTATGTATGTATGTATACAGAACGAGTAAATAAAAATTGGATTTTATGTGTGCAAACGAAGCGACGAAGAGGCAGGTAGCACGAATCGCAGAACACGCGCGGTGCGGTGTGTGTGTGTGTGTGTGTATGTATGAATGAAGCTATTGCGGCCAGAAATGTTTTGAAGATGTGTAGGAGGGAGGAGTTGGGTGGGCGGTTGGCGGGTGACTGACGACTGACGACTGACGACGACTATTCAGCTACATATGCCGCATATGTCTTTTTACATTAAATTTGTTGTTGTTGTTGTTGTTCAAGAAAACGCTCGTTAAATAGAGCAAAAGGAGGGGTGAAGAAAAAGAACGATCAAAAAGAAGACTTTTAGCGAACGATTACTCGGAACACTTTTGGAACACTGCGAAAAAAAAAAATTATAAACAAGAATAGAAAATCAACATGAAATTCAACGCGTTGTTGAAATTTATTTTAGAAAATATTTAACTTCAGTTGAAAATATTGCTATTTTCCTTGATTTTTTGTTGGGTTTTGTTCCTTTGTGTCGCGCAAAAAATAAACCGCTGTCTATCAATTCTTCTTGTCTGCTTGCTTGTTTCGCATTTTTTAGTTTTTTTTTTGCTTTCTAAAAAAAATTTATACACTTTTTCTCAGTATGTGTTTTTTTTTTAATACTATTTTCGTTTTCTTGACTAAGTTATGTCACCACTCTTGTGAACAAACGCTTTGCACATACATACACTACTGTTTTTTTTTTTGTTATTTTTATTTTTGTTTTAGTTAGCGTTTTAATGTAGAATTATCGTGTTTTGGGGGCGTACAATGTCTGGCTAGAAAAAAGCTTCCTTTTCGACTTCACAAATCATTTCGAATAATACTAAACGTAAAAAACAATAACGTCTATACCCGTCTGCATATGTACATAAATATGTATGTACTTTTAATTAAGTATTATTATACGTATACGCGCTCGCTAACGTCGCCACACCGTCGGCACTATTTCAAACACTGCCGTAATATCCAAGAAGAAAAAAGTACCCAAAAAAAATAAAACACAAAAAGAAAATTTTATTTTTCAAAACTTTTAGTTCGCGTAGCGCGCACACAACCGTCTAATGAAGATTTTGATTTTCTTCTGATTTAGATTTTCGAACTTGAAATGAGCACAAGCACTAGCAGCCGAACAACAAGTAACATCTGCTTGGCTTTCAGTGATTTTCAAAAAGGAGCATACAGAAAAGTCCTACACACATATAAAAATACTCACCACTCTTACCAAAACACTGCAGAAGGTGGGATAAAGAGGAGAAAAATCGCAATAAGAACGCAGCATTCGTTCTTCGAAAAATGGCTCATGTATGTATTTGATAGTGTGAGGTGTTGAGAAAAAGTTGCGCGCGCAATGTTTTGAAAACAACCGAATACAATACATATATTTAGTCGAAATAAACAAGTGCAAATGTAAAGTTAAAAGTTTTCACTATGACGACAATTCGAATCGATTTAGCAGAATTAGGCATAAGAGATAGAAATGTTATTTATTATCAGCAAAAGGAATGCAGCTCTCTGCGATCTTCAACTTAAGAGAAGAAAAATGAACAATTTTCTCACGCATTAAAAAGCATTAATACATATATGTATACTACGATAGGAAAGCACAATTAGAGAAAATCGTGTAGATTTGATAAGAAATTAAAATGGCCTAAATTTATTCAAAGTTTTTCGAACTAAGAGAGAAAATGATGATCTTAAGAGAAACTAAGGAAAAAAGTTAAAGTAGGACACAGCTGATTTTAAATTTAGTAATTACAGAATTGATTATTTTTATTTTTAATTATCGTGCTATTGAATTAATGAAATAAGCTATGGGTTACTAGAAGATAAAATAGTCGATGAAATTTTTAGCGGCTTAGTCTGAGCTTATGAAGGACTGAGTCTGACTTCTTTGAGATATGAGAATAGTTACACACTCATATATATTTACTCTGATAACACCGTGCTACAAAATAACAAAAAAAAACTTCGAAACACACGAAACAATCAATATACTCCCGAAACTATGGGCCAAATATTGTAAATATTTTTAGTTTTTCTCTCTGACGTCAGGATTTTTTTAAGGATTTTTGAAAAAACTAAAAACGAAGTTTTACTATATATGGCCCATGTATACGCAAAGTTACAATAGGTCCTGAAATGGATGGGCCTAGGGAAAAGCAAACAAATCATTTCCAAATGTTTAATAAATATATACATTGGGGTGCTTTTTTTTTTTTTTACTACCACCCCGAAATGTTGTTGGAAATATATACCTAAAAACAAGTTCCCTGAATATTAAGTGCTCGGCCAAGGCGTGTAAAAATTTCCCGTTCAAAATACACGCAAACTTTGATTGTTTTTCTTCGAAATTCTATAGCTCAGAGTCATTTTATGGTATAGTTTTAGTCAATGATAGGTTATTTTTGGTATTCATTTTAAGCATTTCCCACAAAATTTCGAGGTGGGAGTAAAAAAAAAGTCGCCGGAAAAAATCACCCTAATATACATACATATGTATATGATTTCTAAATCGATACCTAAAAGTATTCTCTACTCAGTCTGCAACATTGAATACATTTACAATTTTCAAGTAGCTTGTTCTTAAACTGTTTTTGAAGCAAATTTAATTTATTTATTTGTAAGAAAAACTAAGTCCTCTTTGTTAACAACGCTTTGCTTTTCAAGTGGACGTTAAGTTGGAACATAACGTTGAGTATTTTATAAATATTTTAATTTTGAAATTGATCTAATTTTCCCAACAAAATTTTTATGGGGGATCTTAGACTAAGTTTAGATCCTTTTTATTCTTTCATTGTTGGTCTGCTGAACCTTCCATTTCATTTCATTCAACTATCTCAAATTCCGATATAACGCTTCCAGAACGACGGTATTTTTATAAATAACGAAACCCTTAGATAAGGTATCCGATACAGATGTATAGGGATTAATAATTTTCTTTTGCTGAAGGCTTTTACGGTCTGGCGCATATTCTTCCATAAGAAAATTCATGTTCATATGGAAAAAGTGCAAAACGCTGTCAACAAAAAAAAAAATTAAATAATGCGATTTTTCAGCCGCTTAAAACTTGCACTTTTACTAGAATTTTATAAGCTTGTTAACAGCATACCCAAAAAATGTCTAAAAGTTCTGATAAAAAAGCTCGAAATTTAGATACACATTTTTTGGAATTCTTCTAGGTTATGTATAAAGTTTCAAATTGCGATTTATACAGTTTTTGTTATGAACCATATTTTTATAAAAAAATATCAAACAAAAATTTATACACATTATTCATCCATTTTCGCTCGCTACTGCAAGCACTCATATTAATGAAAACACTCTTCATGTAGGAATCATGCTGGTGCTGTGCTTGCTCTTTCAGCGCTTATCAGCTCAACTTTAAGCACCCTGTGTGCGCTGGGACTTAACGAGCTTAATGTTGTTAATCACACATTTAATTTTTGACATGCTTCACACTTTTTTTACACAATTTTATATCTCTCTTCCTTTTCTATTTACAACTTACCAGATAATCATTATCATGATCAAGAAAGTACTCATCAATAATCCAATCGCCCAAAAACTTATCAAACAATATGTCACACTCTATAACCAAATCGAAATTGTTGCGGCAGCGTTTGATCACTCTGCGTGACGAGAACGTGCCATTGTTGGTGGTCTCTTCCAACGACAATGGCGGCGATGTTTGCTTGAAAGCATTGTGCGGCCGTCGCTGTACAGCTGCTACTCTTTCTAGTCGCCGAAAGAAATGAATTTTGCAAAACCGATGATAAAGGGGGTTTGTATACTAGAAATTCAATTGCCGACTATGGCGACGCGCTATCAACGACGTCAGCAATGCGACTAGTTTGCGATTAGAAAAGTGCAAAAAATCTCGAATTTAATTGAAGCAGGTAATTACTGCCAAATTGCAAAATAGAAGAATAGGATAGAAGTAGTGAAAAAAGGCCATCATATGTCGAGAACATAGCGTGCAATCTTTTAAATGTATGCAAGCATGAAGAAGCATAAAATAAAATGGATGCAATGAATTGAAAGCAAAAATATATGCAAAAAGTTAATGAATAATAAATTAGTGTGCAACACAAACTAATTAAGCAAGCAAATTAGCCATTCTCGAGATTGTCCAATTGCCCAGAATGATCCATCCCCGCTAATAGATTGACGATCAAGCTAATTTATCCTACACACGATTATTCATAGCAGCAAAGAATCGAATCGCTGGACGTTGCACGAACACATGAGCTTTTATGCATATGTACATACATACATACATACATACAACAACAGCAAATGCAAATGATGCAGGCGCATGCCAATGAAGTTTAATGTGTAAAGTTGCAAAGTTTATTTTTCGCTTTTCAGGCTAATACACACACACACACACACACACACACAAAATTAGCGAGCTTGTGTGCAGCTTACAAGGTAATCATCGTCGTGATCTATGAAATACTCATCCACAATCCAATCGCAGGTGTACATGGCGAAAGGCATTGCACACAACGCCACCAGATCGTGCACCAGATCGAGTTTCCTGGGTGGTGGCAGCTCACGCATTTTCACATAACAGGGCACACTATTGTTGGCCTCAATGAAGTTTTGCGCAACTAGCTGTGACTTCTCGAGATAGCGCTTGAAGAATAACATACTTTTAGTATTTATTTAGCGAATGGAGTCGGAAGAATTATGCAGCCGATCGATGAAGAAAAAGCAGCAAAATCTTTGAAACGTGTACTACTTAATTGTCTAAATGCAAAATCTATACTGAAAAGCAATGGGCAAATATGTAA